GTGTTTTGCATGCAGGAGGCTTGGGTTTGAGTCCCGGGATTGAGTGGTCACCCACCCAACCCCCCAAGCCCAACATCACTTGGGGAGACAACCTAAACACTGATTTGGGAATAGCCTCTAAGCACTCCTGGATGATCCCAAAACTTTGAGGGCAAAGCACAGAACTTTGCAATTTAATTCTTTGTAAGGTGTTGTTTTTCCCTTCCTAGCCCCAATAAGATTAAGTCCCTGCACCTCTACTGAAGCTTTGTCTAGCTCCACACCTGCCCCAAGTAGCAGATACATGCTAGTGAGCTGTTGGGTTCCCTGAGTATATGAATATGTCGTAACAAACCTAGGGTGTCTAATGGCACAGATTTATCTAATAGAACAGAAGCTATTCGAGAGAAAAGCATTCCTAACCCAGAAAACTACAACTGATTAATGCAAACATGTTTTCCAGTTTCACAGACATAGTAAGGTCCAGACACCCAATTATTTTTACTGGAAGCCCTCAGTATGAAAGCATTCCACTTTTCATGAAATCCAAGAGGGGCAATGCACAGTGCCGTGCGTATTTTATTCGGCATCACTCCTTCCCCACACTGTGTTTGGGTCACACCAGGGCTAACTCCTGGCTCTGTGGCTAGGATCATTCCTGGTTGGCTCAAGGAACCATGCATGGTGCTGGGGATGAGGCCAGGTTGGCTGCGTGCAAGGCAAATGCCCTGCCCACTGCACTATCCCTACTTGCTGTTATCACTCTGGCCTGCGTCACTTTTTATTAACTGTCATTATACCTGTCCACACCTCCCAACTACTTCTTTCTCTAAAACTGCTGAAATGAAGAGCATTTTAAAAATACAGCTCCCTGTTCGTGTAATTTTGCATCTCATCCCATCCCAAGTGGCTTCTCTCACAGTAAGAGGACAGACAGTGCAGACTCCGCTGCCAAAGACCACTATTTTCTCAAAACAAGCAGGCAGCGGTATTTACTGTGACAGAAGTCAGCCCCTGGATGGAAAAGGGAACTTACATTTTGAATATAAGGACTCACTAACATACTGGCTGTCCATTTCCTACCTTCAGGAAGACAAGTATAGAACGCTGTCGTTCCCGAAAAACTGCCTGATGCCTAATTAGGATTCTAATAAACTTATGGGTCGAATCTTAGAAACAAAGGCAAATTTAGACTATCAAAAAAAAAAAAAGAATCTACATACATTCAACTATGTGTGTAGCCTTAAGTAACATCTAAAATTCCTTTGTTATAAGAAGCATAAGATCTGGGAATGACTTTTGGAGGCCGATTCAATTCATAAAATTGCCATTATCTGCAGTGAGTTCTCTAATTAGGTGACAATCACTTGAAACATCAGCATAGAAAATATGCTAGCAGAATTCACCATTTCTACATAATGGTCACCACTCTAGTTTCAGAAGTCAGATGCTAGCAAAATCTCAAGAACCTCAAGAAGTACTAAAGTTCCACTTCTCTTTCACATGAACCTGTATTTATCTCTTGTAACCAGGAATACCAAAAATTCATTATACCGCTTCACAAACACAAAACTATAGGGTGACTGAAACATCAAATCACTGTTCAAGTCATTGTCGCACTATCACACGTCATGAATATAAAGCTACCATAATTGCCTTATTTGAATGGTAGACATTTAAATGTTCATGGTAATCTTCTGGGGGAGGGAACATATGGGGTCATCCCCAGAGATACACGGTGGACCAGGTGGTTTAAAGGACTCAACTAGGGTTGGCTACAGAGTAGGCAAGCACTTTAATACCCTTACGACTCTGGCCCAGTGGTAGTCATTTCTTTTGAGTTGTGTGTCAGGAACTACATTTGAATATACTATTGTCCCTAAAATTTAAATTCTCTGGGAATCAATTCTTTTAGATACTCTCTACAATTTTTTGTTATTATCTTGAAACTATTATACATACTGTTCTCTTACCAACTGCTATGCCATATGCTAAATAGATTGTCTTTTGCGTATCTTAAAGATTGAAAACATCTTTAATTTTGTATATTACTTTCTTATTGCCAATCGTTGGTTGTGTTGAGGTGGGGGCACAAAACAAAAGTATCTGCCTGACCGTGAAAAGGTGGTATTACTAGGATATACAACTAAGCAGCCTAGGTGGACGTTGTGGTACCAGGATCACACCTGGGTCTCCATGGTGCAAAGCATTAACTCTGGTCCTCTGTAACATCTCCCCAGCCCTGTTTATTCACTGGGGAAAAAGAAAAAAATCCCACAGACCTACTTCCTGTTATCTTATTTCTTTTTGTTCAAAATTGCACAGTTGGTAGGGAATAAAATCTGAAAAGCCTTTATCCTATCTGATCACTAATTGAATACTCTATATAAACTTCCAAGATTTGTAAATAAAGGAGAAAAAAATTCAACAAGCAATTTTTCATAAAATGAAAACATCTCTAAATTTCAACTGTTCTTGATTCAAAATATTCCACAAGGAGCAATATCTGTTTGAATAATTTTTAATCAACATTATTGGGCCAAAAAGAAAGTAAATATTTTCTAAAATATAAACATTTGGTCAATTAATACTGCTTAAAGTCAAAATGCTTGTCGGGGGCCAGGGATGTCATATTCCTGATAGAACACTAGTCTTGCAAGTCTGAGGCTTGCTGTGCCCAGACAGTCAAAATAGTTAATACTGATAAGCAAAAATTAAAATAAATAAAATGTAAAATAAATAGTCTCTTCAGGTAATCTCTTCTTTTATCTAGAGTATCCCCAGTGGTTGCAAGACTCTTGTCTGAACCATTATCATTTCATCTGGATAGTTATTAAAAACTGCCTTTTAGTACTGAGGCAAAAAAAAAAAAAAGAATTTCCATCTCTTGGAACTTTAAGAAATCATATACTTTAAATTACAATTTGTTACAAGTTTAAACACTCTAAGCATTATGCAGTATGTGAGCAACACCCTAAATTTCCCAACTCCAAACCATATCAGATTTTTCCCTTAGTTTGACTAATTTTAAAAAATCATAACATCTTTCTTTTTAATTATGAAATTTTAGAGACTTGGAAAATTCACATTATGCATTCACTTGAGTCACTAGTTAATTTATAGGCAATAACTGTGGACTAGAAAACAATTTTAACTTTAACCTCAAGATTAACAAATCCCGATAGCCTCATTATCGAATATATTTACCATGGAACGGGAATAAAGAAATTTTGCAATTTTTCTAAAATCTGTAAAGAATCCTGAAAGCATTAAGTTAACATAGCAATTACATATTATCGAAGCAGTTCTCTAAGGAGGTAGTTGTGAGGCTTTACTTCACATAAAAAGACAAACCAAAAACCATTGTTCCATAATTCAAAACTGCAAATCTTAAATACAAAGATATCTTAACCCAAAGTTTACAAAGATAACCCCCTGCCCCAACTGGTCTAAATTAAATTAGCATGTTTTACATTTTAAAGAACTCTGAAATCACTGAACAAAATTCACAAAGCCAGAGGCAGTTTAGTGCTCACAAGTTTATATTTTTAGATTTGATAAAGATTCTTGTGTATTTGCTAAATACACAAACAATTTTGGAAGTTACATACATGTCTTAGGACACTTATACTAGGCAGGTAAAATTACATTAAAAAAATTGGTCTTCGTAAAAGATCTTTCCAAAGAGCTTTTACAAACAGCAGGCAGAAGAAAATGTTCTTTTTATGTTTACAGTGTTTAAAATGCTGATTCTCCCATTTCATAATAGCCTTGACCATCCCTCCCTCTTCTCCTCAACCCCAAATTATGTTCCAATAGCCAGTGTACTGAAAATTTAAGTACCCAATGTCACAAAATTCAGGACTAGAAAACATCTTTTAAAGTGTGCTTATCCCTAACACATTCCCAACTATCTAGAACTCTTGAACTTCACTCGAAAGCAGGGATACAGCAGGGGGAAGAAGTTCCATTTTAAGTACTAAAGTGACTAAGGAAAAAACCTGTTGTTAGTTTTAAGCACATGTATTAGGTACCATAGTTAAGTTTTAAGGATCTGGGTGACTGAACGGCACAAAAAACAGGTTCACGTCTAGTTTAGTGAAAAACCATCCTTTAGAAAACGAAAATGCCACAGCCAGTAAATTGCATGTGCTACACTAAGGTTGAATCTCTTATTAGAGTCAAGTGACAAAACAGTTGCTGTATTAGAAGGCAGGAGTAGTGAGGATCTTATTCGAGGGAGGAAGAGACACTCAATTTCCTAACATAGCAGTTTGAGAGAGAAAAGTCTCCATAGACAGACTCCTTTAAAAAGCAAAAAAATACAAAGGTTGTTTCATGAGGCAGCAAGTAAGGCCCGTTGTATAAAACTTGGGCTTCGGAATCAGGTCTAGTCAAAACCCAGTTCACTGAATCACATTAGTCAAGTAAAATTAGGCGAATTTCTTGGAGCCTTTCCTCATTTATGAGGCGGAGACAATAGCACCTAAACCTCAGTAAGAGATCAGATAAAATAAAGCTCAATGGCACATGGAGCCATCCCTCCCACCCCACCGAAAGAAGTTTTGGGCATCATACACAAAAATAACTCTAAACTCTGGACGCTATGTTGACAAAACCCTAAAAATATAAAGAAGCCTTTTAAAAATCTAATCTTCCAATCACACTTTCTCCCATCTACCATTCCAGTTACCTTCAGGTTTTTTTTACACTGTGTCAATGCAATGTATAAACCCTGGCCTTTCATTTTCTATTCTCTTCTATACCCCTTTCTCATTTCTCATTCCTTTCTTTCCTCCTGGTCCAATTTTCTATTAAATAAGATGTATTAAACCCTAGCGTGTACCAGATACTGTTCTAAGCACTTGACAGATATTAAACTCATCCCCATCTCACTCTACTCCATCAGGATGGCTCTACCAATACCAGTATCCCTCCCCCCCCACATTCCGAAATGACTTTATTGTTCAGATTCCCCTTTCACTATTCCTCTGCCCCCCACCCCCGCCCCCCGCCGTTTACATCTCTTTAGCTCTGATTTGCTAGGGTTTTTCAATTTAGCAAAACCTTTAGTGAATATGAAAAATGGAGGCCCAAACGAAAGTGGGACCAATACAGAAGTAACCGTGTCTGAGAATACATTTTCTGGACTTAAGAGCCCGTACTACTAGACAGTGAACAGGAAAGAAACACTTTTTACTATTCCCCTTCTTTAAAATGAAAAGCTCTAAAATTCTTTGATTTAAAATATAAGTTAAAAGAGAAAACTTCAGCAAATGTCGAACACATAATTCTGCCAGGGCTTCACAGACAAAATTATGACCATAGTCACCTCTGGGACCAACCAAACATTTTTAGCATCTACCAACTTCCTGAAATTGTACTTTAAGTCAGAAAAAGAATATACTTAAAAAAATAGAAACATCCAGTAGTATACCTTAGTACTAAAACTTTTTTTAAAAAGAGATCTAAAAGGGAAAAGGCAGTCCCTTGAGATCATGAAACAAAATAAGTTAGGCAGTCAGCAAGTAGAAAATCTGTCCATTCTGTCTGGTAAAATGCTTACTTTAAAGAAGAAAATTTTATATAGGCTGAGGCTAAAATATTTCAAGAGTATAAACATTTTTTTCCTTTGGATTACCTTTTCTAAAAGCAAACAAAGTATCGTATTTCAGTTGACTAAAAATATAGCCAAATCTGTCACAACACAACATACAAAGGTAACGGACAATAGAATATTTTAAATTAACAATAACAAGTCATCTACATCGAACCTCGTTTCCAACTGAAACTAAACAAAAGCACAACAATCCCGTAGTGTACCAAGTGTGTATTTCAATTACTGTATGCAATCTAACAAAAATTTGGTCATAATTTACCAGATATACATAAATGATTTAAGCAATAAAGGAAATATCAGCTTAAGAATTAAGTTCTTATCTTGAGGAAAAGCAAAAGTACATACGAATGTAACGTCAAGTCCAGTTTCTATGCAATAAGTGAACTGTAGTCTAATAAAGCAGATTTAGGTGATTTTCAGATATATATCTTCTCTCTTTAATATATATTTATATATAGACAGATCTACCCATTGTAAACTATGGTTTATTTTAAAGGAGGGGGTAAATGGGGGTGAAAGAAATCTTTTATACTATACTTACATATTCACAAAGCAGAACATTTTACGTTTAAAATACTTTCATTCATAGTATCTTTGTCCAACTAATTTCTACTTTGGACCCCACCAGAATTACATTTTATCCATTTGTCTAGAACATTCAGATTACGATATACTCTTCAGTCTTAAACAAAACCAAAACTTCATGTCTGTCTTACAGTTATGGAGAAAGTACAATAAAGTTTAGATGACAAAAGAAGGGTCTAAAAATGTAACTGGAATTTATCCTTGATTTATCCAAGCAGAAACGTCTACCACTTAACCATTACTCTACTGAGAAAGCTTAACTCTTAAAAACCTTTCCGATCTGATCAGATGGAGCACCAAGAGGACCGTGTCCATCGAAGAACTTTGCAATTTTCCCCTTGCATGACTAGCAGAATTTAGTTATTTGATAGAATAGGAAATTATACTCAATTTTATTTAAAAGAAAGCTGAAAATGTTCCTCAATTTTATATAATACACAACGTATTATAATACACAAATGCTGTGCATGTTATTTTGAAATGCTGAATGTTCAACAATCAGTTAACTCATGTCAACAGGTTACCTGACAATTTCAACTTAATAAATCACCCCTTTTCAACCCTGAAGAATTTAGTTACAATAATAAGTGGTAAAGCTTCTCAGTATTTTAAAGATTTCTGCAGATCGTTGAATGATGGGGCCTACCAGGATAACTGCCTATATCAAGGTGCAGCGATTTTTAAGAAATTAAAAAATAACTGATCATAATTTCAAAACATGAAACAAAAGAGAATGTACTTTTTGTGTTGATTTTAATGATAAAAAAGGGCACAGGAATAAAAACCTGTTATTTCACTTATATTGCATAACAAGCTAATCAAACTGGACATGGATGATAAATTATAAAACAAATATTTTTACTATTGTTTCTATGACTTTTTCTCAATTAGATTTCTGCTTTTTCAAATAGGACTGAGGTATAGTACACTGGCAAAAATAAAGAGGCAAACAAGAATAGTGCCAAAGTAACAGATACCCAAAACGGAATACCATGTCAGAAAAGGTCATACTGTAACCATTTATCAGATTAGAGCAGCAGGAGAAAGTTACTTCTAAATCATAATCATTTTAGTGGTATTTGTCAACTTCCATGGTAACTTTGCAACGTCATTCTTCATTTGTGAAGTAGTAAAATTCATGTCAACAAGGAAAGGGGGAATGGAGGAAAGTCAGTTCATTCCAATAAATTACCTCTCCAGTTCTTATTAACATGCCCATCAGCACAAAATTGAGAAATACTACCTAAGACTAGAAGAGACTTGTTTTTTAAGTTACGTAGCAAATTAAAATTGAAAAAAAAAAAAAACCCAGAAAAGTAGAACCAACGGGGTTGAAAAAGCCCCTCACTGAAAATCTGTATTAAAAAAAATAAAATTAATAAAAATAAAAATAGAAACAAAACTCTACTAGTACAAACTAGCCTGAGTGGTTTGATGGACAGAGTGATTGGGTCACTGTACTCCATAAGCGAATTTTTCTTCATTCATGTTAAAAGTGGCACATGAATTTAAGTTCTTTAAGAATGGGTACTGTTTTTATGAGACCCAAACAGTTACTGTATAACCTATAAATAAAAAATACTTTACTTTGATAACTGACTGAAGATGTGGGGACTCCATGTAATCCAACCACAAGGTTGTTTGCTGTACAGTCCTGTGCAAATATAAAAAAAAAATTTTTTTTTGCTATAAGGCTTTGACCCTACAGTTTTCACAGCAACATTACTACCATCCAGCATGTACCATATTTTGCAAGCCTTCAAGTTCAACAATTCAAATTGTTGATTCATAGTAAGTCCAAATGCAGCATCCTTGAGGAGTATAGTAGGTCAATTAATCATCTAGAGACATACAGACATCTCCTGATTCATCCCATCGAGATGGATCATTCTGATCTTCTCCATCGTCAACCAGCTCTTCATCAGCGTCTCCTACTTCATTCTCCTCATATTCTTCATCCCGAGGGAAATCTGTATCCTGTCCCTGATCTACACCTTCTTGCCCGCCTGGCTGTGATTTATCTGCACAGTCTACGCAAACACCATAGCGTCGAGATCCATGTCTTATTCCAACACTGGCAGCTAACATGAAGATCTTCTTACACACCATACATTTGTACTTTTTATCCTTTTTATGCACCTGGTTGAAGGGGAAAAATCCAATGTAAGGATACGAGAAAAAATATAACGCACACGAACCACCCAAATCAAATCACTTAACGCTGAAACTTAAAAACAAACAGTATTGGTTGTCTGTTGAATCACATATCTATTTAAAGCAATTTATGTATTAATCGACCTTCTTGACATTGTTATGCAACACTGAAAAAATACCTTAATCTTCAACGATCAAAACAGTTTCTCAAAACCACTTGAATTTAATGTTACTTACCAAGGAATGTCTTTTTACATGTTCTCTGCGAGTAAACAGCTTTCCGCAAATATCACAGCTAAATGATCTAACTCCCGTATGAATGAGCAAATGCCTTTTTAGTGTTCGTCTGTATTTGGCTACATAGCTACAATGAGGGCATTTTAACTTGTTCATGATTAGAGATGATTCACCTTTGAAAAAACAAACATACAAAAGCAATTTTACATTAAGCAAAGTTATCTATATCAAAAGTTTGTTTACACTTAAAAAAAAAAAAAAGACCAGAAACCTACAACCCCTTAAAAATTCTGTAAGGCATGGCTAGAGAGGTAGTAGTGGGTAGAGTGCTTGCTTTGCAAATAGCAGAGATGGGTGAGATTCCCAGTAGAGCATATGGTCGGCCCCGAGCAACTCTGGAAGTGATTTCCGCATGCAGACAGAGCACAGCTGGCTGTACCCCACCATCCCAACACACAAGAATTCTGTAGACCCCAGAAACTGATAAAAGCAAAGAACTCATCCTGCATGCACATGCACAAGTCCCTGAGTGTGACCTAGGCACAAAGTATCGCTGGCAGAGGCCTAGTGGTCCCTGAACAGTGCTGGGGAGTCACCCAAGCGGGGATGCAGGCTTATGGTGGGAGGCACAGTTTACAAATCCTGAGCCTGAATTCAGGCAAAACAGACACAGATAGACACAAGACACAGACACACAGACACACACACTTAGTAAATATTTAGTTAACTAAAACTTGCCATTTTCCCAAGTTTCCTGTTTTGGCCAAGAGTCAGGCAATAATCCATACTTGAAATCGTTCGAAGCACCTGTCATCAATCCAAACTTGAAATCATTTGAAGTACCTGCTAGCAATCCAAATTTAAAATCGCTTGAAGGGCCAGGCATAAGGCTAAACTTGAAATCATGTGAAGTACCTAATACAATTGAAAAATGACTCTGAATTAATAGTGGTAGTAAAGATGTATTACAATTCAATCATAAGGGAAAAAACAGCAAAATAAACCTAAATGCATTACATTTCCTTGTGCATGAAGGCCAAATGAAACCACCTTTTTCTATTTATTGAATTTCAAACATAATCATGATAGAATTCTTTCAAAAAGGTTGTTATTACGAAGCACTCTATTACTTGACACTATAATCCTTAAAGCCCAGCTATGGAAAAAGATAGCTTTTCTGTTTTGAGGACAATGATATAAGACTAACTGGCACACAAGACAGCATGCAAAAATGGATTAAACAATAAAGAATGTAAGTATAAAGAAACTAGAGCTGGAGGGCTATTCGAGGGGGTAAGAGGTTGCCTTGCATGCAGCCAGCCCATGTTCAACCCTGGGTACTGCCTACAGTCCCCAGAGCTCAGCAAGGAGTGATTTCTAAGCACAGAGCCAAAGGTGTTCATTTTCTCATCCCCCAACAAAAGGAAATTACAAACTAGATGTGATTCCTTCTATTTCAAGACACTTTTTGTTTCACACATATTGGGCAACAACTGAATGCCCTCTTGGGGTTCATCAAAGCTCCTAATTAGTGGCCAGAGCGATAGTATAGTAAGATGGTGTTTGCCTTGCACTCAACCCGAGCACCAAGTTAATTCCTGAGTGCAGAGACAAGAATAACTTTTTTTCTTCTTTGCTTTGCCCTTTGGGTCACACCCAGCGATGCCCAGGGGTTACTCCTGGCTCTGCACTCAGGAATGACTCCTGGCGGTGCTCAGGGGACCATACGGGATGCTGGGAATCGAACCTGGGTCAGTCGTATGCAAGGCAAACGCCCTACCCGCTGTGCTATTGCTCCAGCCCCTGACTGAGCCAAGAATATTTCTTGAGCATTGCTTGGTGTGACCCAAAAGCTCTCCCCACCCAAAAAAAAAAAAAAAAGCACTCATAATTCTATTCTTAAAAGAAAGTTCAAGCTGAACTGGATTCCCGCCCCCCCCCACCCCCGAAAAGCAAAACCAGCCATGCTCAGAAATCACTTCTAGTGGGCCCTGGGGGATGATGGAAATTGAATCCAGGTTGGCCACATGCAAGGCAAGTGCCCTATCTGCTATGCTAATTGCTCTAGTCCTTACCTACATATCCTAAGAATTATTTCCTCTAGATTTCATTACCCATGTAATCTCTCAAATCCAGGAACCCCTTGGTAAGACAAACATACGTATCCAGAATTCTCCATAGAGGGCTGGAGCGACAGTTCACGGGTAGGGCATTTGCCTTGTTAAGTGGCCAACCAGGGTACAATCCCCGGCATCCCATATGGTCCCCTGAGCACTGCCAGGAGTAATTCCTGAGTGCAGAGCCAGGAGTAACTCCTGAGTATCACTGGGTGTGACACCCCCCCCCAAAAAAAAACTGGAATTCTCCATAGCTATTGCACCCCTTATGAAACTGTTCACCAGTTTGCTGCACAGCTCTCAATGCCAGCTTCTCAGAGTTTGTTCAATAGGTTTTGGGGGTGTGTCAAGGGCCCCCAAGGGTGAGCATGTGGTACTACTCAGCCCGAGCTATGCCTGGTGGCCACTGTCACGGAAGGCAGTGCGTGCAGGGTGTCCAGGGACACACGTGGTGGTGCCACAGACGCCAGGCAGTTAGCTTTGTCACAGCCTGTCCATGTCAGTCTGTACTCCAGCTCGCTGAGCTAGTTCCCAGGTCACAGTTTTGTGAAACTGAGTCTGATCCTAGCAGTACTGTCCTGGAAAGTGTCACGGGATGCCAAGTAATATAATTCTTCCAAAACCGAAGCCTTCCCTCTCCAGCACACGTTTCCAATAGGCCACTGAACCCACCATTCCATCAGACTGGGGGTCCCAGAAACGTGCTTCCACCGTCAAACTGCTCTCCCTTCAAAGCCTTTGCCCTCACTCTGCTCTCGGCATACTTCCCCCCTCAGGTCATATGCTTAGCTCACACCTACAGCAATTATTAAGTTTTGCTCCCATGGGAGATTACATTTTAAAGGTTCTTGCCAAACAATTTTTTAAAAAGATGTTTTTCCGACATACTACCTCTAAACAGCAAAACAACTGAAAACACCAGCTTGGGAGGGGAGGGGAAGTGCATCTAAAAATTAAAAAATTGCATTTGGGGCCAGAAATATCGCTCAGTGAGGTGAAACACAGGGCCAGGGGCTTATGCCTAGCACCAGACAGCTGCCACTGGACTCCAAAAACTCCTCTGGGCACTGAACTAGGAGCAGTTCCCACACCCTGTCAGGAGCGGTTCTGGAACAGAAATGTGCTTCACCTTTAATAATAAGTGTTCTACGTTTGAAATATTTGGACCTTTTAAATATCAGAAAGTCCTCAAAATTCATGTCCATTTCTTAAAAAGTTTAAATTCATAGTTCCTGATCAAATGAGCGGAAAACAAAGCTCACTTCAGGGGAGCACTACACTATGTGACCTTCCTTTGTATCCCAGTGGTCAAAACAAGTCTTTGATTATTTACTGAATACATTTATCTGACAACTATTGACAGGGCAATATTTTTTTCCTATGGTACCAGGACTTCACAGATATTATACACGTGAGTACCACTGAGTCACATTTCTGACAGGTATGTTTTTGAGTTTCTCAAAAATACTCAGGAAAACTGACACCAGAAATTACATTAGATCCTGGTAATCCCATGTTTTTCTAATAACCTCCAGTGATTCTTTCAGAATTCCAGTTTCAGTCGACTTTAGTCAATGTATACTGTATTCAAAAGGCAAAAAGTCCTGTAAGCAACACTGCCCCTACGTGACCCCAAGCAACTTTTAAAATTTCAAGGCTTGGGACTGCTGATGCAGCAGGTCTGAAAGAGAACCTGGGCTTAATTGCTGGCAAGGGGTGCTAGTTGGGGTTTTGTGTCACAGAATTTCAAAACTAAAAGAATCTGAACCAACCACAAACACCCAAACTCCTCTGTGCCTCTTTAACAAACACTAATTTTGCAGGGGCTAGAGTGACAGCACAGTGGGTAGGGTGCTTGCCTTGAACGTGGCCAACCGGGGTCCAATCCCTGGCACCCCAGAGACCCAGGAACCCACCGGAAGTGATCCCTGAGTGCGGAGCCAGGAGTAAGCCTGAGACTACTGGCACGGGCCCCTCCTCCCCACCAAAAGCTAATTTCCCAAATGTGCTTTCTATTACATAAAGAGACACTTTACTTCAACCTTAAATACGGCGTATGTTTTCTGGAACTTTGCACTTTTTTAATCACTCAAAATATTAAAAATTGTTATTTAGCCCAATTTCCCAAAGTTACTTAGCATACAAATTACTCAGAGCCTTCCTGGAAATGTGCGTCTTTTAAGAGAAGACAGAAAAGTCCCCCCTCAGCTGCCCTGAGGCTGCTCCCGCCTCCCTTCCTTCCATAGTGCTGATCCCAGGCCGGTCCCCACACCCCCTCCCTTCCCCTTCCCACCTAGCTATCACCCAATTTAGGAAATGTTGATTTAACCCACACCGCAAATTCAAATTACCAACTGTTCTCAAAACACTCCTTCATTAATTTTCTTGAAGCCATGATTAATCAAGATTGATATGCTGCATTTAGTTTGGCTCCTCAAATCCACTGCTGCCTTCTTTAAGCCTCTAACATTTTAGAGGCTGGCCGGGTTGGTTTCCATGAGAAAACCCCAGCAGATGCTCCCCTGCATGGCAGCTCATGCATCATGTCAAGAGGCACGCTGTTCCAGCTCCCTCTATCACAAGCACAATGCTTAATCTCTCTGTTACGGCGATGTTCAGCAGATCAAATTTATTGTAAAAATGTCTTCATTTAGAACCAACACTTTCTGGGACAAGCATGTAGCTCTGTGACAGAGCACATGCTGAGAATGTTATCAGTGCCTCTGGGTTCAACCACAAGCACCCAAAAAACAAAAACAAACCCCATTTCTCCAGGCATAGTCATACTATTATTTTACATCAAAGCTAAATAATATGTTAGTCAACCGTTCTGATAATTACTTTCTCATTCCATCTATACGAGGCAGGAAACCACACGAGCTATTTAGTTGACACTTTACAGTGGGAGGAAAAACAGCAAAAACCCCTCTATATGGGGAATAAAAACAAGAAAGCCTTTTCATTTTTAGCAAGCTTCCACTGTCTACTAAACACAGCTACCAGGTTAAAAGTATTCATATAATCTCCTTAGGTCATCATGCAGTGACCAATCCTCAAATGCTCTCACATACTCCTGCCAGAAAATCCTCCAGTATGTACCTACCAGCATCACCTCCATCCTGACCAGAGCCGGCTTCAGCTAATAAATTTGTATTCACATTCCTCTCACAATCTGGTCCTGAGAGTAGAGCACCGTCCAGATCTGAAAAGGAGATGCAGAATCTGTCATTTCATATCTTAGTCACCACACAAAATACCACTCTTGTTTCTTGTGCAGAATGAACTAAAGGAATCTTGGACTAGAGAGTACTTCATCAGGTGCAGGATGGTGGATGCGAATGGGCACTGGAACCAGGGTCCACTGGGTGCCGACCTCCCTGAGCTGTCACAGGCTGCCGAACACACAGCTCAGTTTTCTTATGCAGAGCAATTCATATTTGACTCAAAATTGAACCCAGCATCATCGACTGACACTAGCTACACTCCTCCAAATAAACTGTATCACTGTATCACTTTCATCCTGTTGTTCATGGATTTCTTGAGCAGGCACCAGTTAACATCTCCTTCATCCTACCCCTGAGATGTTAGAAAGTGCCACCATTCGAGGCTCCTTTCAGGGTCAGGGGAATGAGACCCATCATTGTTACTGGTTTTTGGCATATTGAAATGGTCGCTAAACAAAGATTTTTATTTCTTTTTTTGGGTCACACCTGGCGATGCACAGGGGTTCCTCCTGGCTCTGCACTCAGGAATTACTCCTGGCGGTCTCAGGGAACCACGTGGGATGCTGGGAATCGAACCCGGGTCAGCTGCATGCAAGGCAAAAGCCCTACCCACTGTGCTATTGCTCCAGCCTCTCTAAACAGTTTTGTAAATGCCACTTTTTATGCACAACCGACCTTTTCTCTACCTCCCCATTAAGGCTCATCTTTAACATCGCTGTCCTGGACTGCTCTGCCTACAACACTCAGGGTCAAACAAGTAAAACAAATATAAAACCAAAGTAAGCATCACTTACCCAAAATATTTATAGCAAGTAAATAGACTATTTCTAGCACCGAGCAACAACTTAAAGGCTTAGTAACAGACTGAATACAGGGGGTGGGAGTATGGTGGGGTATTGGAAAGAAATGTAGTATGGCCAATTTCAAGGGAATAAAAAGTCTGTGGGAAGTTTAATTATGGACATATGGAGTAATGTACCTAAGTGGGAGAAAGCGAAATGCCTGAGATGAATATAGTAGGTTAAAAGGTTAAGTCTGAAAGAAATGGAATAACTCCAAGTGTTGCCAATCCCCGCTGCCTGACCATTTAGGAAGTTATTCTATTTCTAATATATAGTGGTGGTTCCAAAGTGTTATCCTTAGACCTGCAGTATCAGAGTTATTTAGTAACCTGGTAAGCACTGTAGCGCGGTCACTGTCCTCCCGTTGTTCATCGATTTGCTAGAGCAGGAACCAGTAAGGTCTCCACTGTGAGACTTGTTGTTACCAAGTTTTTAGCATGTCGAATATGCCACAGGAGTTTGCCAGGCTCTGCTATGTGGGCGGGATACTCTCGGTAGCTTGCCGGGCTCTCGGAGAGGGACGGAGGAATTGAACCCGGGTCGGCCGCATGCAAGGCAAACGCCCTACCTGCTGTGCTATCACTCCGCTCTTTACTAGTAACTTGGTAGAAATGTAAATTCTCATACCCCTATCTTATTCAAGATACTTTGATTCTCATACCCCTATCTTATTCAAGATACTTTGGAGGTGGGTCCCAGAAATCTACTAACAAGCTTTCCAGATGATTCAGATGCTTAATAAAGATCGAAAATTGTTCTATTACAAAAATAGGCCAGACTTTAAGGACCAAATGTTTTTGGCTCTCTGCCTGAGATAGCAAACACAAAAATTTAACTTTTTCCATTAAATTTCTAGGTAGGACTGAAGAGAGAGCTCCAATGGGTTTCCTTCATCCAAACTCTGGATTCATGGCCCTGCAGCACGAGGAGGGATCCTTGAGCATCACTGGTATGATACTCAAAATACCAGGGGGAGGGGGAAGGGGGGGGGGGGGAGAATGACCTAGAAGAACACACAAATATCCAAAGTGAGATTTACTATCGAAGGTTGCTAAGATTTGATGCTTAGGCTGTACCCGTGGCAAATAAAGCCATGAAAGTAAATAGATGAGACCAAGAGAAAAAACAAAATTCAATACTGAGGTATCCCATCATTTTTAAGTAAAAAGGACACAAAGACTTGGAGGGAAAGAGTGCTCTGACAGGCACTGCAAAATGCTGCCAGGAATTCAACGTGGGAACTGAAATACGTGTTACACGCTTTCGATTCATTCAATATTGCACATTTAGGAAGTCACTGATGATGTCAGTGACAACACAATGGTTGGATCTGCAAGGCAAGCAGAAAGACTAAGTTATCTGTGCTATAAATGGAGGACAGTAATAAATCATACTCTGCTTTGCATCCCCATTAATCTGGCTGCAAAGAGAGAGAAATTAAGGGTTGTTCTAAAGGCCAAAGTAGGATATAGGATAACACTGAGGGGAAGTCACTAAAATATGAATACTTAACTATTGAAAGAGAAAAAAAAAATTTTATGAAATTCTGAGGTAGTCTGGAACCCAGAACCTTGTTCGGGGTGCCTAAAAGAAAGAGGGAAGAATCTACATACAGAAATCTGAAGGCTGACGCTGTTTTAGTCTATTATCATCTTTTCTCATGTTGGAACAGAAAAGCAGAAAATGAGGTTGCTGCCTTGAGTCATTGTTCCCAATCTTTTCATACCTGAGGACCCCACACTGGTCCAGTAGTTGAGAACTACTGATCCACAGTAAATGGCTTGGAATTCCGTACCATGAACAAGAGTACAGAGAGCCTAACTGGCTACAGCATATGGTCTTTGAATGCAGGTGGCCCAGGTCTGATCCATAGCTCTGTGTGGTCCCCAACCACACTGAGAATTGTCCCAAGGCACCACTTAAGTATGTCCCCAAAATTAATAATAATAATAATAATAAAAAGATTATTGAGTTCCTCTCTATTCAGAAGGCACTTAAAATTCAACTAAGTGGGGCAGAGTGGTAATACAGCTGTTTGGTAAAGCACTTCTTTACACATGGCCAACCTGATCAATCCCGGCATCCTATATGGTACCCGAGTACAGTGCCAGGGGTCATACTCTGAGCACTGCTGGGTGTGGCCCCAAAATAGACAAAGAAAAAAAAATCTGCAAAGTGTGCTAATATAGGCTCTTCTACTTAGGTAACTTTATAGTCATTAGTCTAAGCTTATACCCAACTAGTTCTACAAAAAACCATCCCTCTCCTATTCCACCTCTGAAGTACTGGAACTTGTGATCTAGTGGTGTGGTCCTAAGTCCTGCATCCCAAAGTACAAAATTATATATCCATGCTATTTCTGAAAGTCATTGATTATGACTACCTCGTATTTGATAGCAAACTTCAAAATAGGTGAACTTTCCAGTTGACAATAAAATTCTGTAAAGACCAAACTTAATTTAAGAATAACCACATCATTACTGCTGTACCTTATTTGAAAGTAGTTGAATGAAGTGACTCCTTTTCAATGTGCTGATGTGAATGGGATAGAAGCTGGGTAACCAATTCAACTTGGTGCAGAAATTTTGATTTACTAGAAAGCATTAACTCGGCCACCTTTTTTTCTCAAAAATTACTGTATTAAAAAAATCAAATTAACATGCTTTTGTGACATTAAGACCTCCCTATGGTAATCTTCCACTTCTATTTAAACTCAGCAAAAAGGGGCTGGTAAGATCTCTTTGCAAACACCAAATGAACTTTGTGGAGAACTATTAAAATACTTTTCTGGGTGGCAGCAGGTATATTTTTCATGCAATAACATTCAAATGACCAGAATTCAAAGATAGCAAGCCGAACGCAATTTATTTTCACAAATATTCTCTAGTCAACAGGTAACAGCATACTCCTCCCCCAGAAAAAATCAAAACAGAATGTACATGGTGAGCAGCCAAATCCTTTTGCTACTACTGCTCCATTTCATTCCACTACATTAAAACTGTAATTCACAAGTATTTATCTTTCATTTCGATTTTATGAGGAAAGTAAGGTCAAGCCAGTAATGCTTACCGTGCTGCGTACCCTTGAGACAATTTCGCACACAATTTTTAAAAAGTACGCTTTGCAATGCTAAAAATGAAAGCCAAAGTATGTCCATGTAGTCATCCACCTTTGCAGTGTCACGTCAGATGGTTCTGCCAAGTGGGGCCAGAGAGACCAGACAAGGCTTAAGGCGCCTGCCTCACATCCCCCCACTCCCACTCCCTGTGGGCCCCCAAGCAGCACCAAGGCCACTCCTCAACACAGACCCATCCAGGAACAGCTGCTGAGCAGGACCGGGTGTGGCCCCAAACAAAAAATTCTGCTGAATGAATGGAAAAATTCTTACTTACTACACTCCATTATTACAAAACTACTTTTAGAAAAAGCAGTTTTAATCTTAAGTGCATCCAGGACATTCACTATCATGATTCCTCCCTCACTTGGGGAAGGGTGACAGGCTCACCACACCCAGGCAGGCTCAGGGGACACACAATCTACCAGAGAGCCACACCCCCAGCTCCTATACTAACACGTTTACCTTAAAGGAGACCTCTTAAGGATTTATTTTTTGTAATTGTGGCCAGTCATATATTAGCATTTCAAGTGGAACCCTGATCATGAATTAAAAAATTCTGGTACAGAGCCAAATGTTTTGAAAAAACTCATTCTTTGCAGAAAGGATAGCTCGCTCAACTTCTGCATGCTGAATGACTGGGTTCAATCCCAGGACTGCCTGGTCCCTGAAGCACTGCCAGGTGTGGTCCCCAAACCAAAACAAACAAAAAAGATCATCCTCTACCAAAACATTGTGTAATAACTTGATTTTCTTAACATGAAAAATAGTAGAGATGTTTACCCACTTCACAAAGTTGCTTTGAAGCGACCATAGTAAATGAAGATAAGAGTAAATTATAAAGTGCAATCTATATCATGGTGTTCTAAAGGGAGGCTAATCTTGATGCTTGTGACTACAGATTTCTCTTGGAGAACAATGAACTAGCAAATCACCTAATGCTGTAGCTCCTTCTTAAGGCTAAGAAGAACATGTGGGAGGTGACTGCCTGACAATCTGCTTTTGGCACACAAATTCCAAA